GGGCAGGGGTGGGTATGTGTGTGTGTGTCGGGGTGTTGCTTAACATTGTTCATTTCAGTCGATGTAGGAGAGCCCTATGGAAATATCTTTTTCGCAATTTCATGGTTAACCCCGATATGCTCTTTTGTGATTTTCTGTTTTGAATTTTAAAGAGCATATTAAATAAATCAAATCAAGATACGAACGATGTTTGCCTTACCTGACGTGTATCGTACTGATTCGTGAGTACGGTCTCAAATGCTTACGAAAAAAAATTATTTAAAAATTTAAGCTACTTTAAGCTACTTTACTAAGCATGTGTTTTGTGTCAGACCGGTATCGCACTGAATGCTCAGTAAGTTCCAAAAATCCTTGGGAAAAGATAAATCGTGAATACATTTCGGATTTGCTTCACTACAAACAAAATGATTTATTGCTTAATTGTTGTCAACAAGCCCTGTAAATATTCTCGTATCTTCTGAATCATTCAAGGTTATTTTAAAAGTTTCTTTGAAACACGGTATGACGCACACCAAAAGAGATTTTTAAACGCACTATTAATTTTTATTGTTTTGAAGCTTTTAAAGTAACTGAAATATCTGCACGTACGTTTTGTTTGATATTTTTGAAGGTAAGACTTTTCTTTCAGGGATTAGTGCATATTTTGTTGACATCCATCATGAATACATTCCAGATCTGCTTCGCTGCAAGCAGGGTGATTCATTGCTTAATTGTTTTAAATTTTCCTGACAAACAAGCTTCATACTCTTACAAAAACATTGGTCTAAGACTATAGCTCGAGACTGCAAGTCCATTAGAAAACAAATCAATTTTAAGATAAAATTAAAATAAATGAGTATGGGAGCTTCATTTCCGGGGGATGTCTACAGTTGCCATATTCTAGTAAATTGTTTGCGCCTAGCTCAGCCTTAACCAAAGTGAAACTGGGGTGGTTGGTAGGATGGGTTACATCCATAATTGAATTCGAAGTTCCCATCTCCATATTCTAACTGTGAAAAGGAATCTGCGCACTAGGGCCCAAGTTAGGGATACTACAAACATAGGTTCTCCGCTTCGTTCCCCCGATTTTGGCTTTTTTTTTCATTCAGAATAAAAAATTAAATTTAGGCCTAAGTGACAATTTCACAGTTGGTAAAATGTTATTGAAAGTAGGGCTAAAATCTGATAGCCCCTCAAAATCCGCCCCTTGAAACTGAGTCTTAATAACCATTCAAGCGAGTTAAGATGTTGGTGGGTACCACAAGAATGGGAAACAGGCATATACAGTATTGTCCCATTACCAAACATTCTCCTCCTAGATCTGTAGAGAATGTGAATTTCGTCCAATTTTTAACCCCTATCTAGGCAAAGGTCGTGGAGAGCCTTAAGGGGAACTATCTGGTCACAAGTTAAAAATCAAATATACATTAATCAATTTGGTTCCTGTAAAAGTGTTTTACATTGTCACGCGGCGGCCTGGTGGAATGATTCACTGGAATCCGATATATGGATATGCGTCTGTTAATAGATGCGGGAATTTGTTTCAGGATAGATGGGGGATGGTTGGATTTGCTGTTGACGTAGAGTAGTTGGTTGTTTGGTTTGCTGTAAGACTTGAAGGACCTTCGAACTTGTCGGATCCTTCGTCCTCTCCTCCCTCATCCCAATACTCGGCAAAACCAACGTCGGTCTCTACCGAGATGATGGCCTCGCTGTCATGAACAGTTCATCACCAAGACAATGCGATAAAATGAAGAAAAATATTATATCTATCTTCCACGCATTCGACCTCCGCAGCACCATACAGGCGAACATCCACACCACCAACTGCCTAGATGTCACACTCAGCCTAAAAAATGGGTCCTTCAAGCCTTACAGCAAACCAAACAACCAACTACTCTACGTCAACAGCAAATCCAACCATCCCCCATCTATCCTGAAACAAATTCCCGCATCTATTAACAGACGCATATCCAATATATCGGATTCCAGTGAATCATTCCACCAGGCCGCCCCTGACAACGAACACGCTCTACAAAACAGCGGATTCCAGCACAAAATGGAATACCAGCCTCCACAACCAAAATCTTCAAAGAAAAATAGAAGCAGACAAATAATCTGGTACAACCCAGCATTCAGCAAAGGAGTGAAAACCAACATCGGAAAATCAGTCCTTAACCTGGTCAAAAAGCATTTCCCGAGTGGCAACATTTTACATAAGCTCTTTAACAAGAACAATGTCAAAGTCAGCTATAGCTGCTCAAGAAACATGGGCAGTATAATCAAAGCCCACAACAAACAGCTTCTGGTTGCTAAGCAACAACAGCCAAAAAC